CTACTCAGGAGGCTGAGGTAGGAGAGTCGCTTGAACCCAGGAGGTAGAAGTTGCAGCCAAGATTGTGCCACTGCACTCCAGCCTGAGGGACAGACTCCATCTCAAAAAAAAAAAAAAAAGAAAAGAAAAGGTAAGGGGACAGACAGACAGGGTGACAAGACTCCAGCTGAGAAATATGAGGATGGATACTCACTCAGCAGGCAGGAAAGGTGACACAAAGCCAAATTAGACCTCGAGGTCTTCAAATTAGACCCTGAGGAACCTTCAGTTCTTTTTTTTTTTTTTTTCCTCTGAGACAGTCTCACTCTGTCACCAGGCACCAGGCTGCAGTGCAGTAGTGCGATCTCAGCTCACTGCAACCTCCGTCTCCCAGGTTCGAGCAATTCTCCTGCCTCAGCTTCCCAAGTAGCTGGGACTACAGGCACGCACCACCACGCCCACCTAATTTTTGTATTTTTAGTAGAGACGGGGTTTCACCATGTTGGCCAAGATGGTCTCGATCTCTTGACCTCATAATCTCCCCAAGTGCTGGGATTACAGGCATGAGCCACCACGCCCAGCCGAGCCTTCAGTTCTTAAGGGATCAAGGTGCTTTTCTTTGAAATGACATAAAATGTACATGAATGCCAAGATTAAATCCTTGCGAGGATTCTTTCTCTCTCTCTTTTTTTAGAGACAGGATCTCATTCTGTCACCCAGGCTGGAGTGTAGTGGCGTGAACACAGCTCACTGCAGCCTCTAACCCCTGTGCTTGAGCAATCCTCCTGCCTCAACCTCCCCAGTAGCTATTTACAGGTACACACCACCACACCCAGATAATTTTTTATTTTTTGTAGAGACAGTGTTTCCTTATGTTGCCTAAGTTGCTCTCAAACTCCTGGCCTCAAAGTTCTTCTCACCTTAGCCTCCTAAATCACTGGCACTGCAGGCTAAGTTTGGCCTGTTATTCTTTCTCTCTCTCTTTTTTTTTTTTTTTTTTTTGAGATGGAGTCTCCCATCACACAGGCTGGAGTGCAGTGGCAAGATCTTGGCTCACTGCAACCTCCACCTCCTGGGTTCAAGCAATTCTTCCTCAGCCTCCCGAGTGACTGAGATTACAGGCGTACACCACCATGCCTGGCTAATTTTTGTATTTTCAATAGAGACGAGATTTCGCCATGTTGGCCAGGGTGTTCTCAAACCCCTGACCTCAGGTGATCCGCCCGCCTCAACCTCCCAAAGTGTTGGGATTACAGGCGTGAGCCACCACACCCAGCCAGGCCTGTTTTTCATATGTTGCCCAGGCTGGTCTCAAACTCCTAGGCTCAAGCAATCCTCCCTGCTCAGCTTCTTGAGTAGCTGTGACTACAGGCCCATGCCACCACACATCTGGCTTGCTTTTTAATTTCTGACAGCAGAGTACTGGATAAATTCACCAGTGCTAAATTTTTCTCTTTGGAGGCCTTGGGCTCCTGTCTTGCCAATGAGCTGATCCCTCAAAGACTGAGCTGCTGCCTCCACTAGGAGTTGAAAGCCATCTAGAAGGTCCCCAGGTACACAGGTGGTGAAAACAAGTTTCAAGCAAAAGAACTGATCAGGGTTTGTAGGTGGGGAGGGGGCCTGCACACCTTCCCTGACTCCAGTTTCTTCACAGTGTATTCTACTTACGCTAGAATAGGGATTTTTTCCCCCCACCAGTTGTCAAATGATCCTTCATTGAAATATTTTCCTTTGAGCTTCTTAACAAGCTGGTCGTTCCACAGCACCACTGTTGACATCACCTATGATGTCATGAGGGTGGAGGCCATCAACATTATAGTCCGCAGACTGGGCAGTTCCCAGGATCTCTTTAATGGTTCCAGAGAGTTCTCTGGCTGAAGATCGGTGCTGCACCTGTTGAGCAATGTTGACGATCTCATCAAAAGTGTTAGTCCCACTGTGTTTAATGTTATTCTGTTTTTTTCTGTCTATTGGTGGTTCCTTGAGGGCTTTGACGATCCGGGTAGAGGCAGAAGGCACCACCTCAGTCTGGGCCTGTCTATTCTGAATGGTCAGTTTCACCATAATCCTCAGGTCCTTCCAGTCACTCGTTGCCTTGGCAATGTCATCACCAACCTTTTTTGGAGACAGACTAAGGGGGCCGATCTTGGGGGCCAGCACAGACGTGGCACCGACTTCACCCCCAGTGCATCTCAGGTATACGACGTTGATCTCACTCACATCGAACTTCAGCAATGTGGTGGAGGTGGCTGGTGTCAGATGAACCCGGATTCAGGACAACCAAAGAAAGTTGCACCTTGGCCTCCTCTGAGCTGAGAGCCAAAAAGGGGACTTTCAAACTATTTTTTAATTACCACATCCCAAAGTAAGAAATACTTTTTTATGTGGTGCCCCAGTACAAACACACATTCACAAAATTCATAAAATGCTGATTTTTTTTTCCATTCTACTCTTTTTTCTTTCTTTGAGACAGAGTCTCACTCTGTTGCCCAGGCTGGAGTGCAGTGGCATGCTCTTGAGTCACTTCAACCTCTGCCTCTTGGGTTCAAGAGATTATCATGCCTCAGCCTTCCGAGTTACTAGGATTACAGGTGTATGTCACCATGTTCGGCTAATTTTTGTCTTTTTAGTAGAGATGAGGTTTCACCATGTTGGCCAGGCTGATCTCAAACTCCTGGCCTCAAGCAATCCACCCAGCTCAGACTCCCAAAGTGTTGGGATTACAGGCATGAGACACCATGTCCAGCCTTCTATTTCATTTTCTAATTTAAAGTTGTAGTAGCAACCCGTAAATTAATTTCACAACTCCCTAATAGTTTTGAACCAGTTTGAATCCCAGCACTGGAGTCATACTCTCTCCTCAACCTTCACTCGCTGTCCCCTACAGGCTTGATTTATTTAGATGGGGATTTTAGAAGGCAGGAGGCATGCTCAAACTGGCTGCTTCTGAGCTCGCCTCCCAGCCCTGCCCATCTGCAAAGAGAATGGCTCAGGATGCTTCCTGCTTCCTGGGGTAGGGTCTGGCTCTGTAGCATCAGCAGGTGACATTTTTCTCTCCATTTGGCTGTCTCCTGCATCTTCTCAATTAGTTCTAAACTTGGGAAGAAGAAGTGTTATTTATTATCCTATAACATTTAGCAATGTTAAATAGTTCCAGGAGTTCCAGCAAAATAAGGGTTAACTTGTTCTTGATGAGTTTTCCAACAAGGGATTTGTTGGGGACACAGGTGAAAACAGTTTCATTGGGTCAATAGGTCAAGGCATAGGAAGCAGAAATTATTCAGAAGTGGGGCTGAAATGGACAAGAACAAGAAGTAATAACCAGAGAAGCCAGTTTTCTGAAATGGAAGGAATCTGAGTATAGTGTGTGGGTTGCTAGAAAAGAGCAGGGGGCAGGATGGGAGGTAAGGAGTGAGAAGGGGTAGTGGGCAAATTTATTTATAAGTTAGTCCCCCTGCTGTACAAAATGGCATGGAGTGGCTAACAATGATACCACATCCTAAAATCAATGTCAATACACACACCAGGGGCAACCATTAACCAATGGGAAACTGGAGCCGGTACTAAATGCTCCAAGCTCTCTTCCTTCTGAGAGGCATTTAGTGCCCTTAGAGGTCCCAGTGGGCTTTGGCCCAGAAGGTCCACAGCAGAGCCCTTATGGTGCACCCTGACAGTGACCTCCTTTTTTTCTTCCCTGTGCTACTCTCCTCATATCCTTCTCCTGCCTCCAGACATAGCCTCCCATATAAGTGCACAGTCCTCCAAAAGTGTTAATACATAAATAAATTTTTCTTTTTCTTTTTTTTTGAGAGGGAGTTTCACTCTTGTCGCCCAGGCTGGAGCGCAATGGCGCGATCTTGTCTCACTGCAACGTCCGCCTCCGTAGTTCAAGCCATTGTCCTGCCTCAGCCTCCCTAGTAGCTGGGATTACAGGCGCCCACCACCATGCCAGGCTAATTTTTGTAGCAATAGCAGAGACGGGATTTCACCATGTTGTCCAGGCTTGTCTCAAACTCCTGACCTCAGGTGATCCACCCGCCTTGGCCTCCCAAAGTGCTGGGATTACAGGCTTGAGCAACCGCACCCGGCCAGAAATAAATTTTTCAAGAATCAATGCTGGAAGAAATAAGATATAGCTAAAACATCACTATCTGGGAGGAGAGGAGCATAGATATGTAGCCAAAGGGAAAGGGGGCCAAATCAGAAGGAAAGGCGCCGGGACCCAGGGGTACAGAGGAATCGGGAACTAAAAAGAGGTGAAGAGTTGAGACAATGTACAAGGGAAGCGGTAGCCCTGCGGGGTCTTGAGAGCCATAGGCGATCTCTTGACCCAGATACCCTACAGCTGTAAATGGAGAGCCCCTCCAGAGAGCCAAAAGAACCGGATTGCTGTACTCGGGGCATTTCTCCTGTTCTTCCTCCTCGTGCTACACACCTAGAAGCCTTGGCAGTCACTGGGGGGACCTAGGACAAGGCAGTCAGCTCTAAACATTCTGAGCTCCTGACACTGCTTAATTCAGCCTGATCAGGAGCCCAAGACAGCAAAACCCCCGGGGTCCGGGAGGCAGCGAAAGGAGGCTAGAGGCGGCGGGGAGTCAGGAACCTGGGTTCTATTCCTGCCTCTGCCACCCCATAGTCGTGTAATCTCCAGCGTCTTGCTTCAATTTCCTCCTCAAGGTCTTGAGGGATGCCTAAGAGACGGAACGCTTGGGTTTGAACGCAGGCTACACCAAAGCACTACGATGCGGCGTTGGGCGGGTTACTGAGCTCCTGGGCCTCAGTTTCCCCTTCTGCGTGGTATCGTTGTAAGGGTACGAGAAAAGGCGTGAGCTAACCCCAGGTGGATGCTAGCAAGCACCGCCGTCTCCCGTCCTCCTCAGGCACAGCCTCTCAATCTCCCCGGCGCGCAACTGGCAGGGGGGGGCGGGGGTCCCCGAGGGCCAGCCAGCGCCCCCTCCCCACCGGGCCGCCGGATCCCGGGCGGCCAGCCGTGACTGCGGCGGTGCATTGTGGGGCTTGTAGTGCGGGACTGGGGCTGGGTGGGTGGGCGCGGCCGAGGCAGTCGCTGCGGGGCCATCTTCGGCGGGCAAGCGGGCTCGGACTGTGCAGCCCGCACCTGTGCCCCTCGCCCGGCCCCATGGCACCGCGGCCGCTGGGCCCCCTGGTGCTGGCGCTGGGCGGCGCCGCGGCGGTGCTGGGCTCGGTGCTCTTCATCCTTTGGAAGACCTACTTCGGCCGCGGCCGGGAGCGGCGCTGGGACCGGGGCGAGGCCTGGTGGGGCGCGGAGGCTCCCCGCCTCCCCGAGTGGGACGAGTGGGACGTGAGTGCCGGGCCGAGGCCTGCGGAGGATGGGGAGGCCGGGACTACACCTCCGCGCGTGTGGCCGAGGGGTGTGAATCGGCCCTGCAGGCGCCGGGAGCTTGGTGGGGGGTAGGGGGCGGTGTCAGGGGCTTGGCCGCAGCAATGCAAAGGCTCCGCGGGGGTGGGCGATCAGAATCCGGTAACCGAGGAATGGGTAGGCGTGATCGGGTGTGTGCGGCGCTGCAGCACCACGCTGTGGGACTCGGTTGTTCCAGCGGGGGCCGCAGTTTGGAGGGCGCGGCTCGGGAGCATCCCAGGACGCTACTGGGTCAGCTCGCGCTCCTCCCACACCTGCGCAGTGCGCCCTGCCCCGGGGCATGCCGGGAGAAGCCCCCCACTCCCGCTTGCAGCCGGGACTCCGAGCCTGGCAGAGGAAGCGGGTGCGCGAGCCTGAGGAAATCGCCCGAGGCCGCTAGGGAAAGCCACAAGTCTGGGGTTTGGAATTCAGGACTCCCAAGGCAGCTCTCGTCCCACTCCTCCAGACCATGCTTGTCTGTACCGGGACGAGTGGAGGGCGGGCCGGGGCGCTCTAGTGCCTTAGGTCTTCCTTTGGGAAGGGTCCGCCTGGAGGCTGCGGGCCGCAGCCCGACCTACGCTTCCCCGCAGCCCGAGGACGAGGAAGACGAGGAGCCAGCGCTAGAGGAGCTGGAGCAGCGCGAGGTGCTGGTGCTGGGGCTGGATGGCGCGGGCAAGAGCACGTTTTTGCGCGTCCTGTCGGGGAAGCCACCGCTGGAAGGGCACATCCCCACGTGGGGCTTCAACTCCGTGCGGCTGCCCACCAAGGACTTCGAGGTGGACCTGCTAGAAAGTGAGCGGACACCCTACCCCATCTCCTCATCTCTACTTTACCAGTCCTGGATTCTCCACAGGGAAGGAGGCTTCCAAAATGCATGTCTAAGCAGCACTTTCCCCTGTAGGAATCCTTCCCACCCCTTTCTTGGGCACCAGATTCAGTCCAAGCTCTGTGCTCTGATATTTAGGGCCCTTTATGATCGGGCCTCTCCAGCTGCGCTCAGTAAATACTTGTTGAGTGCCTGCTGTGTGCCAGGCATTGTGCTGAGGGCTTTGTGGGGATTCAGAGATAAGCGCCTCTGAGTCTCACAGCTTGGGATCCATAAGGGTCAGAGAAGCATAACCAGAAACACTAGGGTGCAGGGTGACCAATGGGACTGTGCAGAGGGACAGAGAGGAACAGAAAGGTGACCCAGGCTGGGGGACTGTGTTGGCAACCATGTGTTCTTAGGACGAAATATGGCATTTCCAAGGGAAAAGAAGGGCATGGTGAAACTGAACAGGGGAAACTGAATGAAGAATGGCTGTGTATAGGAAGGGCAGGGGGTCCTGAGTTTTCTAGACAGTAGGACTCCTGGCTCCTATCACAGCCATCACTGACAGTTTTGAACCTATAGGGGAAAGCTAGGAATTGGCAAGAGGCAAAGCAAGATAGCCAGGTGGGGAGAACTGAAGAGTACCATTTATTGAGCACCTATGTGTCAGTCCTGTGAGAGGTACATTGTACATGGTGGGATTTACTGCAACCTCTTAAGAAAGTTCAGTGAGGAGTCTGGTGCTTAAAGCTATGGACTTGCCCCGAGAGGCGCACCTGTCCGAGTTAGAGCTAAACGCAGTCTGAGAAGCTGCGGAACCTGCGGCCTTTTCCTTGCCCTTGGCTGGTGGAAGCTCGCAAAGCTAGAAGTAGGGTGCGGTGGGGCTGTGAGCATTGAGCCAGGGCCTAGGAGGCTCTGAGCTGGGCCCTGGCCTCTCCTCAGTTGGTGGCAGCCAGAACCTGCGCTTCTACTGGAAGGAGTTTGTGAATGAGGTGGATGTGCTGGTGTTTGTGGTGGACTCAGCTGACCGACTGCGGCTGCCCTGGGCCCGCCAGGAGCTACACAAGCTGCTGGACAAGGACCCTGACCTGCCTGTCGTCGTGGTGGCCAACAAGCAGGTGAGGGCTGTGGGAGGTCAGCTCAGGCCAGTGGATATCCACTTAGAGATGCTTGTATAGGGGCAGGGAGCGCTGCCTGGGCCCATGGCCTTGAGAGGGTGGCTGAGATGCTGCCCTCACCTCTTCTACCTTTGCTCTGTCCTCATCCCTGCCTCTGTCTTCCTCTTTGCCTCCCTATCATCTTGCACCCTGGAGAGATGAGAAAAATAATGATTGAGTGCTTGCTATATGCCAGGCATGGTGTTTTGTTTTTGTGTTTGTTTTTTGAGATGGAGTCTGCTGCCCAGGCCGGAGTGCAGTGGTGTAATCTCGGCTCACTGCAACCTCTGTCTCCTGGGTTCAAGCAATTCTTGTGCCTAGGCCTTCCAAGTAGCTGGAATTACAGGCATGTGGCACCGAACCTAGCTAATTTTTGTATTTTTAGTAGAGGTGGGGTTTCTTTTTTTTTTTTTAAAGATGGGGTTCCACCATGATGGCCAGGCTGGTCTTGAACTCCTGACCTCAGGTGATGCACCCACCTCAGCCTCCCAAAGTGCTAGGATTACAGGCATAAGCCACCACGCCCGGCTCAAGGTGGGGTTTCGTCATGTTGGCCAGGCTGGTCTCAAACTCCTGACCTCAAGTTGAACTGACCACCTCAGCTTCCCAAAGTGCTGGAATTGTAGATGTAAGCCATGGTGTCCAGCCTCCAAGTGTGGTTTTGAATAACATTTCTTCTTATGCTTCCGTTGACCCTATAAAATATGGGATACTATTCCCATCTTATAGATGAGCACAGTTTTGTAACTTTCCAAGGTTGTACATCTTGAGTAATAGAATTGGTCCAGGTGTGGTGGCTCATGCCTGTGATCCCAACAGGGGCTGAGGAAGGTAGTTTCTTTGATTCCAGGAGTTTGAGACCAGCCTGGGAAACATGGTGAAACTCTGTCTGTATGAAAAAATGCAAAAAAAAAAGTAGCTGGGCATGGTAGTGCATGCCTATAGTCCCAGCTACTTGTGAGGCGGGGGGGCTGTGGCAGAAAGATCACTTGAACCCAGGAGGTCAAGGCTGCAGTGAGCTGTGATCACACCACTATACTCCAGCTTGGGTGACACAGCAAGACCCTGTCTCCAAAAAAAAAAGTAGTGGAATTGGGATGTCTAACTCTAAAGCTGTGCCTTTTCTACTCTGCTATGCCCTTGCAACTTCTGGCTCTAGATCAGAGAACTAAAGCTGGTAACTGATTAGAGGTAAAACAGGTTAAATAATAATAACAGCTAACATTTACCGTGTGCTTACAGTGTACCATATATATGTGGTCAGCACCTGACAATCATGACCTTACTGCAGCCCTGCAAAAACCCCGTGATAGGCCATGTCATTACCACTAAATACCTGAAGTTACAGCTGGTATGTGGCAAAGCCCAAACTCAAACTCAGATCTTCTTCATAGTTCCTCCTCTTAACTAGTATGCTGTACTCTATTGAGTGCCAGAGTCACCATGGGCCCAGGAACCCGCAGTATCACAGACTTGGGTCCCATTTTCAATATCAAGTGAAACTGCCAGAGTACAGAATCTGATCCTATTTCCTGTGGCCTAAATTCAGGTGCCTCCGAGAGCTGTAGGATTTGTTTCCAACCTGACTTGGAGAGAGGCTGTATGTCTTTTTTTTTTTTTAAGACAGAGTCTCATTCTGTCACCCAGGCTGGAGTGCAGTGGTGTGGTCTTGACTCACTGCAATCTCCACAACCTCCACGCCCCGGGTACAAGTGATTCTCCTGCCTCAGCCTCCTGAGTAGTGGATCTACAGGTGTGTGCCACCACACTTGGCTAATTTTTGTATTTTTAGTAGAAATGGGGTTTCACTGTGTTGGCTGGTCTTGAACTCCTGACTTCATGATCTGCCCTCTTCAGCTTCTCAAAGTGCTGGGATTGGAGGTGTGAGCCACTGCACCCGGCTAGCTGTATGTCTTTGACCTCAGATAACCCCACCTATTAGGAAACATTTGACAATTATTTATAAAGAGGTGGCTGTATGTCCTGTCCAAGACAGTTTCCATTTACCACTGTTGTTCTGGTACTATTAATAGTGGCCACTCTGAGCCTCAGACTACCCCCGTTTAGACTAGGAATCACATCATATCCGATTTATAAACTAGTTTATAGCAGTTTTGAATCTGTAGGAGACAACATCTAAGGTCCCAGCAGTCTATGAATTGCTCCAGGAAGGATCATTTAAATCTTGGGCCAGGGTTCAAATTACAATGTACCATCACCAGCCATGCTGTGTAGTGGTCTCTTGTTTTCCTCCAGCTAGTTTCTACAGATCTTGTCTGGAAGTGATCCTACTGTATCATCTGTCCATGACTAAGTTGAGGATACTTAGTTACTCAGGTTATCAAACCAACCTGAGTTGGAACCTGGCTCTGCAACTTACCACTGTTACCTTAGCTCAATGATTTCACCTTCCTGAGCTGATTTTCAAATCAATTAAGTGTAGACTGTGAAAATTAAATAAGCTAGGTATATAAAGGCCTTGTCTACAATGCTTGACTATAGAAAGTGGTGTGTTTCTTGCCACAGTGGTTGATGACGCATTGAAAGAGGTTTGTACAAAGGAGAGCCCAGGGCAAGGGAGAGAGCACTGAGTTTAGACCAAGGGGTCCAGAGGCTACTTTTGGGAACTTGGGGCCTGATATTCCCGGTGTAGCCTAAAACAGTTTATTTCACGAATGACAAGGGTGTGATGTGAATATGTTAGGAAATGCTGCCAGCTGTGTTCTGATTTCTCTGTCTCACCCAGGACCTGAGCGAGGCCATGAGTATGGTGGAGATGCAGCAGGAGCTGGGCCTGCAGGCTGTCGATAGCCAGCGGGAGGTTTTCCTCTTGGCGGCTAGCATTGCCCCTGCAGGACCCAGCTCTGAAGAGCCTGGTACCGTGCACATCTGGAAACTGCTCTTGGAGCTTCTCTCCTAGGCTGGAGCTCTCCTGCTCACCGCCTGCCATGAAGACCACAGTTGTACTGTTGCTGCTTCATTGCCAGACTGGGCCTGGAGCAAGAGCCACATGGCAGCATTTCCCTCCTCCCCTCCTTTCCCTCTCAAGAGCAGGGCCTGGGTAAGGCCAAGAACCATGCAGAAGCCTTCATGGTGAGGTGACTGTGAAGCTGAAGCAGGGAGGTGGGTAAGGGAGGGAAGGGAGGATAATGTCTGGCTCATTCCAGACTGGAATGTGGATCCAGCTTTCCCTTCTCTTACCTGTATAGTGAGATGCTCCGTGGCCTCAATCCTTCCCTCCTTACAGTCCCAGCAGCTGAGGAACTAGTGTAGGTGTCAGAAACACTCCTAGAGCCTCAAGGTCTCCCAGTCTAGACTGTTCCCTCCTGGTGACATCATGCCCTTCTCACATGGGCAGCTTCTGAGCGGTAACAGCAAGCCTTTGCTCCCAGTCCTGCATTGTACAGCTCCAGCTCTACGTAAATGACTTGTGGCCTTGTGCAATCTCTGCCTCTCTGGCCCCAGGACCATTATTTTTAAAGGGAGGTGGGTTCCTGATTTGGAGATGCCTTTCCCAGCCATGGGAGTGTGAAGTGCTAGGATGAACCTGGCGATACTAGCAAGGAGCTTTCTGAAGACCTCCTTGCTTTTCCCTGAGCCCAGGCCTGGTCTGCCAGCCTCTCTTGACTACAGAATAACTGATATTCACCAACCAAACAAAAAGTGAAGGCTGGGATTTTTCCCCACTAATCTGGCGACAAGCTGCTCTTATACTAACTGTGCCAATGCCCATGTTTACAGAAGTCAGGGGAAGGAACGAACCTGTGTCCTTGGTAAGACAGTCAACTGTAGCTAGGTGTTGACCTCAGAACTGCATTTTATTTATTAATTTATAAGAGAAACAGGCCAGAATTCTAGACTCTGTTTCTAGGTGCTGTTATCAAACCCCAGATGATAGTGATAGAAAATGTAGAACTTAGGAAAATAGCTGGAATCATGAATGACAATGAGAGATGTCAATGGAGACAAAGTTGTGAGCTTCCTCCTACCACCTGGCCTTGGAGGCTATCGTTGATATCGTAGTACTTTACGTGGATTCACATGAACTGAAACTCTACCACTTGGCCTAGGATGTTGAAAGGCTGCAAACGCCTTCTGGGTAGATAACAAATGACTCTGAGAGAGGATCTCCATTATGTGAATCTAGGTAAAAAGATGGAAAAAAAAATTGTATTATACGATCCTAAGGATGGGAATAGCAGACCAGCCAACAGGATAGCCTTGGGTACATCACTCAGTCTTTCTGGACTCATTTTTTCCCCAGCGAAAGCCAAGCTGGACTGAATTTCTGGACTTCTCATCAGTGTACATTCTGTGGTTCTCCAGTGCTTGGTGATCAGTCCAGTTTAAGGACTGGCTCTGTACTGACATTTATTGTTGGTACAGGCAAAGAGGAGCCTGTTGTCTGTTAGGGACCACTAAATAATCAGCAACCACAAATGGATTTTTTTTTTTTTTAAGGAAAGCTATCTAGCTCAGTTTTCTGTGTAGTTGAGAATAGAGATGTGTGCCTTCATTTCATTTTGACATTTACCCAGCATGCCTCAGTTCCACACTGTGACCAGTGCAAGAAGAGGAACTATGATAAAAATAATTCAACAGGGCCGGGCGCGGTGGCTCACGCCTGTAATCTCAGCACTTTGGGAGGCCGAGGCGGGTGGATCACGAGGTCAAGAGATCGAGACCATCCTGGTCAACAAGTTGAAACCCCGTCTCTACTAAAAATACAAAAATTAGCTGGGCATGGTGGTGCGTGCCTGTAGTCCCAGCTACTCGGGAGGCTGAGGCAGGAGAATTGCTTGAACCATTGCACTCCAGTCTGGGTAACAACGGTGAAACTCTGTCTCAAAAAAAAAAAAAAATTCAACAGGCAGGAAGGAAGGTGAAAAATACTGAAGTCAGGCTAGTCTTGAACTCTTGATTTCAAGTGATCCACCTGCCTCTGCCTCCCAAAGTGCTAGGATTACAGGTGTGAGCCAGTGTGCCTGGCCCCACCACCACCTTTTGAAACTCTCTGTATTAGTAGAATTAGGGGAAAGGTAAGCACAGCATTCAGTTTTGTTCAGCACCATACACAGGCTCCTAGCTGGGCAAAGGAAATCTAAAGCTACATGAAGTTCCATTAAGTGTTTTTGTTGAACACAGATGGCCTTATCCATCCATCTGTGGCTTCTACTTGTGTGAATCTATGTGCTACAAATTTTTTTTAAATGTATCATTAATTTTAATTTCCATACAGTTGGTACCCCACTACTGCCAAAACTGAGTCTCCAGGAACCCCACTGGGACATTTGATCAGTGGAAACTAATCACCTGTTCGAGGGTAGGTATTCATTTTAGTCCTTGACCTCTGATTATGGGGACTTTCAGGGAAAGCTGTTCATGAGGCAAGTGTGAATCAGGCCAAACAGCAAGATCTGAAGTCAGGACAGAGTAAGCAAATTATCCAGAGACCTAATATATACCCTCTGAAGCTGGAAAGGCAGGGCCACCTGGTAGCATTTCAGCAGGGGTCACTTAATGTTCCCCCATAAGTCTGCATAGCTCCTAAACAAGGTCCAAGGGGGAACTTGTTTTTATGTGGTCCTTTTATAGCATGCTGTAAGGGTGCATAATCACAGCCAGTGAAAAGGGATCCTACTGGATGTAACCCAGTGACATTATATAAGCAATCGCTTGGACTCATATAGGTAGTTTCCAGGTCTTGAATATGTGATTCCTGGAAGCATAGGCATAGGCAGTATTCCTTACATAGGCGTTACCTGGACAGGTAATAACTGTAACTAATAAATTGGCATTTATTAGTTTTTTGTTTTGTTTTTTTTTTTTTTTTTTGAGACGGAGTTTTGCTCTTGTGACCAAGGCTGGAGTGCAATGGCGCGATCTCGGCTCACCGCAACCTCTGCCTCCTGGGTTCAGGCAATTCTCCTGCCTCAGCCTCCCGAGTAGCTGGGATTACAGGCACGCGCCACCATGCCCAGCTAATTTTTTGTATTTTTAGTAGAGACAGAGTCTCACCATGTTGACCAAGATGGTCTCGATCTCCTGACCTCATGATCCACCTGCCTCGGCCTCCCAAAGTGCTGGGATTACAGGCTTGAGCCACCGCGCCCGGCCATTAGTTATTAATTGAAAAGGTCAGGGTGCCACTTCCAGTGAGTATAGGGAAGCAAGTAGTAGTGGTGTTTACAGTATCAAGGTTAGCATTCCACTCTTCCTTTGGGATTTCGGCGTGACTCACTGGGAACATGGAGAGATACTGGCATTAATAGAATTGTTTCCTGATTTGGGCATTGACTCGCAAACTCCAGTTTCTTGCTAGAGTATTAGCCTTTGCTAAAGCCAGCCGCAGATTATGGTCCCATGGATTTTCCCATAAAGAGAGGGAAAGGATTTGGGTGGCAGAAAATAGGAAAGGGAAAAAGATGATTTTTTTATTATTGCAGTGAAGTCCTGATCCACAATCTAGGGAAAGCTGTTCATGTCTAGGATGTCATTTCCTTCTGGGGAAAAACTTCCCTGCTTAGCTTTACCGAATAGCCTCCAGGTAGTTCCAGGAGTCTGGAGAGGTCCTTTTGAGTTGTGGGATGTGGCCCAAGGTTTAAAGCCCTGAAGGTTTACCACAGTGTGGGGAATGGAAGAACTTGGTGTATCTTTCAGTGAGGTTTAAGGGCACTTCTCTGATGTCATCTCCAGAAGATTCAGTCTCAGTTTCCAGATTGTGAAGGGTTTGATTGTCCTCTGTGGGTCATGGGAAGTTTATTTTGTCAAAATACAGTATGACATAATGCATCATAGCTTTATAGTATTTAGTCATATCAGCATTTAGGAGAGTAGGAACTACATAAAGTTCTATCAAGAGCACAAACTTTTCAGTAACTATTTCATAAGGGCTCCATCTGTCTCTTGTAGGAGTGGCTCTGATCTGCTGATCAAAGCCAATGGTTGACTTTCTTTTTAAGAGATCAGAAAAATAAAAATTAAATTAAAAGCCAATGGTAGTACCTTTGGCCAAGATAATATAATCGATTCAGTTAATTTTGCCAATTTTAATTTTAAAATGTTATTGTCCTTCCCAGAATAAGGGTGAAAGGGACAATGGTAGTGCCATTGTGTTTCTATCACTTTATTTAGCTGCTTTATAGTTTTTCCAGTCAAATGAGTTCATTTTTTTTTTTTTTTTTTTTTTTGAGACGGAGTCTCACTCTGTCACCCAGGCTGGAATGCAGTGGTGTGATATTGGCTCACTACAACTTCCGCCTCCCAAGTAGCTGGTACTACAGGTAGGCACCACCGCACCGGCTAATTTTTGTAGTTTTTAGTAGAAACGGGGTTTCATCATATTGGACAGGCTGGTCTTGAACTCCTTACCTTATGATCTGCCTGCCTCAGCCTCCCAAGGTGCTGGGATTACAGGTGTGAGCCACTGAGCCCAGCCAGGAAACACATTTTCTTATAACTCCTTAGCTACTGTCATAGCATCAGCTTTCTTACACCAGAAAGCTTCTATCCAGACAGAAAACATGCCAGCTGTTACAAGAACATACTGATACTGACTGAGGGTGGCAGTTGAATGAAGCCCATCTGTAAATGTCCAAATGATCCATCATGTGGTGGTGGGAATATACCACTTGGAGTTTTTATTATCTTCCCAGGATTATGAGTTTGACAAACTAAATATTGGTTATAACCTATTTTAGCAATTTAGAGTAGTCACACTACCAATATGTTTTATAATTTGACTCATTTTGCTCATTTCATGAGGAATTGTGAAGTGCCGAGTTTTGCTTTTTTTTTCACACAGGGTCTCACTCTGTCACCCAGGCTGGAATGCAGTGGTGCAATCATGGCTCACTGCAACCTTCACCTCCAGGGCTCAAGCAGTCCTCGCACCTCAGCCTCCTGAGTGACTGGGACTACTGGTGTGTACCACCAACCATCCCCAGCTAATTTTTGTAGAGAGGATTCTACCCTCTTGCCCAGGAGGTCTTGAACTCCTGGGCTCAAGCCATCTGTCCAGCTCAGCTTCCCAAAGTGCTGGGATTGTAGGGATGAGCCGTTATGTCTGGCCAAGTGCAAAGCTTTTAACAGTGGAAGTTTCAAAGGCTCAGGAAGGACCAGGGAGCCATCTGGGCTCTCCATGAGTTCACACTTAACATTATGTTTATATCTGTCAGACAACAATTTTGGTTTTCCAGATGAGGTGCATTGCACTGTTAGATGGGTCATCAAAAAGGTCATCAGTCTAATGGTGTTCATTCATTGCACATCCTGTTTCAGCACTGTCTGATTTAGCATGAAACTCTGCCAGGGCATTCCCTTGAGATTCAGATTCAGTTTTGCAGGTATGGGCTTCAATCTTATAAGAATTTGTTATTTATTTTTCACCTTTATTCAAGATGTAGCAGGTTCATCCAATTGAGTCTGTTTTTAATGGAGGCTCCACTAGAAGTGAGAAACCCTCTTTGTTTCCATAACATGCCACAACTGTGGACTACTCCAAAGGCATGTCTGCTATGTAAATAACATTTACTGATTTCCCTTTAGCTATATGACAAGCTGAGGTGAGAGCCATAGCTCTGCAGTTGGAGCACTCATTTTGGGTTGTAATGACATATCTTGCCAAAGAATAATTTCAAATGATGTTAGTCTACTTGCTGAAAAATGCTGGGTTTGACTGGAATTTAACGGACTTTCCACAGCACGTGGAACTTGCAAAAAAAGTTCATTCTCTAAAACCAGCTCAGATGAACCCTTTACCAATCTGGTGGTTGCTGCCACTGCCTCTAAACAATTAGGATATGCCTTAGCTATTGCAGCCCATAATATGTGATGGGCCTATGTTTTCCCAGCTATGTTCTTTTTTTGCGGGGGTGGGGAGGGAGGGTGGAGTTTTGCTCTTGTTGCCCAAGCTGGAGTCCAATGGTGCAATCTCGGCTCGCTGCAATCTCCGCCTCCCAGGTTCAAGTGATTCTCCTGCCTCAGCCTCCCAAATAGCTGGGATTAGACATTTGCCACCATGCCCAGATAGTTTTTGGTGTTTAGTAGAGATGGTGTTTCACCATGTTGGTCAGGCTGATCTCAAACTCCTGACCTCAGGTGATCCACCCACCTCGGCCTCCCAAAGTGCTGGGCCGACTTGGTTGTTGAGTAAGAATTCCTAACGCCTGATTGTTTATGAACAAACAAGGTGAAGGGTTCAGTATAATTTGGAAAGCCTAGAGCAACTGTATCTGTTACTTTCCATCCTGGTTTATGTTTCTTTTTTCCTTTTTTTTTTTAAGACAGAGTTTCGCTCTTGTTACCCAGGCTGGAGTGCAATGGCGCAATCTCGGCTCACCGCAACCTCCGCCTCCTGGGTTCAGGCAATTCTCCTGCCTCAGCCTCCTGAGTAGTTGGGATTACAGGCATGCACCACCATACCCAGCTAATTTTTTGTATTTTTAGTAGCGACGGGGTTTCACCATGTTGACCAGGATGGTCTCAATCTCTTGACCTTGTGATCCACTCGCCTTGGCCTCCCAAAGTGCTGGGATTACAGGCTTGAGCCACCGTGCCCGGCCTGGTTTATGTTTCTTAATTAAACTACGAAGTTCTGAGTGAAGTGCTTTTTAAATAGAGCGGTTAATGCCATTTCTGTCCCTGCAGGTTTTCACAAGTAGTGTTTCTAAATGAGCTCTATATTCTGAAACTGCTTCATCTTTCTTTTGCTCGCAAGATTATGTGATCGACCAATCCATTTTTTGTGGAAAAACCTTACAGATTGAATTAAAAAGATTTTCAGCAATTCTTCTGGTTCCTTTTGGCCTTCCTTTGAGGTTTTGGAGTGGTCTTTAACATCCTCAGGTTGTTTCCATTCTGCTCCTGCCATCCATTTTCGAGCTTCACCGGGTCCCAGTTATCATGTGAAGAAATTGGTGAAGATTAGGGAGTCCTGGATCATAAGCTCCTATGAGGATTCTCAATTTCTCCATACATTTTTTGAGTATTTTCTCTTGGATTAGTTAAGTCTTTATGATGCCTCTAAGCTCAGCTTTATAGACCTTGGAGTAAAAGTGGTTACAGCAGGCAGGGCTCCTTGACTAGAGAATCTCACTTTGTAAGGCATTTACCAACTTCCCCTTTTTCATTAGCCTCAAGGAGAAAAGGTAATTGAGCAAAAGGGTTAAAGAAGAGAAAGAGAAGGAGCAGTTGGGGTTAGTGTGCTGCATGAGCCTTTGATTTGCATTTTATAAAGAATCTTTTAGGGAGGCAATTTTAGATTTGTATAATCTTTTAGATGCCTCTGCATACCAATTTAAAATGCATCCCATTGCTTTTGTGGAGTTTTGGATCCTTTCTTTTCTAATGTGCCCCACAAATAAACAATTTTATTTAAATTAAAATTTCCTCATTGTGGCCATTTTAATTCTAAGTTGTTTCTAGTAAGGTTAGCCCATTTTTCTATAAACAAGTTCTGGGTTCATAATTTTGGGAATCTTTTTCTTTCTTTCTTTTCCCTCCCCCCCCTCCTCCTTCCCTCCCTTCTTTCCTTCCTCCCTCCCTCCCTTCCTTCCTCCCTCCCTCCCTTCTTTCCTCCCTCCCTCCCTCCCTTCTTTCCTCCCTCCCTCCCTCCCTTCCTTCCTTCCTTCCTCTCTCTCTTTTTACAGTCTTACTCTGTCACCACCCCCAGGTTCAAGCAATTCTTATGCCTCAGCCTCCTGAGTAGCTGCAGTCACAGATGTGCATCACCACACCCAGCTAATTTTTATATTTTTAGTAGAGGGGGTTTGGCCAGGCAGGTGAGGTGTTCTGCCCGCCTCAGCCTCCCAAAGCATTGGGATTATAGGTGTGAGCCACCACGACTGGCCTTGTTTTGCTTTTTGAGATAGTGTTGCTCTGTCACCCAGGCTGGATTGCAGTGGTGCAATATCAGCTCACTGCAACCTCTGCCTCCCAGGCTCAAGAGATCCTCCCACCTCAGCCTCTCAAGTAGTTGGGACTACAGGCAGGCACACACCACCATGCCCAACTAATTTTTGTATTTTTTTTGTAGAGATGGGGTTTTGCCGTGTTGCCCAGGCTGGTCTCAAATTTGTGAGCTCAAGAGATCTTTTTGCCTCGGCCTCCAAAAGTGCTGGCATTACAGGCATGAGCCACCACAACCAACCCCATAATTTTTATATATAAAATTAGCTGGAGTCCCAGAAGGTGGAGTCCCAGACTTCTTGGATTGAAACAAGCCCATTATCAAAAAGATTAATGCCTCTAACTGTATCCATCCAGTTAATTAAGGGATTCAGTCCAATCCAGGACCCAGTCCAGTAAAAATTGCTCAGATAAACTTGGAGAGCTCAAAACACAAATTCATGGAGCTCAGAATCCTAGAAAGAACTCACTATGACCTCCAGTTGCTGTGAGGGATCAGTGGGCACAATAAACCCTGGCAGATACCTCTGTGTGGTCACTCAGTGCTCCTGGAGGTCACTGAAGTTCTACTTTGGATCTCACTTCTGACACCAATTTGTTAAAAGAAAAATTTTAGACAAGTTAACAGTTTAATTGCACAGAAAACGATTCATGAACCAGGTAGCACTCAGGACCAAGAGCAATGGTTCAGAATGTGTGCAGGCTATATTTATAGGCAAAGAAATGGAAAAGACACAGAGATCGCCTGATTGGCTGCAGGCTGGCATTTTCCTTCTTTGGACATGTTTTGGCAGCCTTCATCCTATGATTGGCTGATATTTGGCTACTTATTACAAGAGTACACTGTTAGATTAGGTTGCAGGTTGTTTACACATTAAGTTAGGTTATAATTTACTATGTACAGAGGCAGCTTTAGACCAGACTTGATTCAATTTAACAAAGGTCACCTTTGGAACCAGCATTAATTGTTGAGGGAGTCCTTTTTTACCCAATTAAGATCTGCCTGTGTCTAACGAATATTTTTATGTAGAACCGTTTTTTAAAGTCAATTGCGGGAGGTGAACTTGAATAAAATTTCATTATGTCGACTTGAGCTGCTTTTATCAAGACCACTCTCAAAACTTCAGGTCCCAGCAGCACACTGAGGGCACTAAAGGTCCAGCATGCCACCACTCTCCAATACTGGTACAGAATGTAAGTGTCCTAGAGCCTGTGGGTTGGTGGTCAACAGCTGTGCTCCTTTGGTGGGGCTGGTGGCCTGTCCCTCAGTCACAGTGCCATGATGCTCATCTGCTTTGGTTTCTGCCACATACGAACCTCACCTAACTGCCTGGCTGTGTGGTGCTCTTAGCCACCTGCTCGTGAATAGGACTTTGTGATTCAGGAGCCAAGATCACCTGCTTTTTGGAACCAGTCCAGTCACCTGGAGCTGCTCATCTCAGAATGATCTAGCCTGAGTGATACTGTGTTCCCCCCTGCAGCCTCAACCTAACAGCTGCCAACCTAGCTGAGCTTGGGAACAGAGTTAAATGTTTGAGCAGCCCTCATGTTCCAACAGAGATGGATGGAGAGAAGGCTGTGGACTTGAGGGAGTGGGTGGCAGAGACCATGCAGTGTCCACTCCTCTCATAGAAGTCTTCACAACATTTACCTGTTGAACCTGTGCCTGGTCACTCACCTGGCACTGGGGGCTTTTGTTCTTAAGTGACTCAAATGAAGGTGCAGCTTCTCATTTTCTATTCTCTGACCTATTACCATCCTTCTGAAGAGAGGCCACCAGAGATGGCTTCCTGGGATGGGTTGAGGAGGGAGGATCACTTGAGCCCAGAAGGTTCAGGTTGTCTCTGCAGTGAGCCATGATCATGCCATTGCATTCCAGCCTGGGATGCAAGAGCGAGACCTTGTCTCAACATACTTACAAGACATTCACGTAGCCTGGGGGTAGAGGATAGTGGTAGGGAAGGCTTCCTAAAATTTTTTCCTCAACTGGGTAAAGACACATCTTAAGGAGCTACCCCAGTCAAAGGCCTGAATTTAGAATCCTGTGGAGGACATAAGATGGGACCAAATAGGCCCTCAGGAGCTCTGCTGCAGACTAAACACTGCTGTGTGCTTCCGAGGGCCAGTCACCGCTAGAGTCTATGGCTGGGACAGTAAGGGGGATTCTGAGACTTTCCCAACCTGCCTTGATGGTATGGGACTGATGGGCAGCCTTCAGGGGTCCTCAAAGGGGAAGACAAGCAGAAAGCCTAGACAGCTGGACAGACTTCAGACCCCACTTTGACACCCTGTAGCCTGTTTCCTCACGTAAGATGAGGATAAAACCATACACCATGTAAGATTTCACATGAAATGATCTATGCACAAAAACCATGCCCTCCTTTTCAACAACAGTGACAAGAGACAGATTATAGGTGATTCTGAGAAATCCTGGGAATGAGAGGTTTTTGTATGACTAATAGTTGGATGTAAGAAAATGCCCAGTGCCCTCTCCATACCCTGCTTGTGATCCTGGTACATTGTGGACATCACTTCATGCCACCGAATCAGGCATGCCTGGCCCCAAAGAATGGCCATGCCATGTGTAGCCCAGTGCCTCGCACACAACAGAGTGGGATTCAGCAGCCCACCAGTCCCAGAAGCCAGGTTGGGGCCCTCAGATTCACTTCAGACCAAGGCCAACATAAGCAATCCAAAGAAAAGCAGAGAAGCAGGTCACTCAGAGGGCAGGCCAGGAGTTGAGCTCCTTACCCTCTGCCAGTCAAGCCACAGGCTTCAGGCTAGAGACCCACCCAAGCAACCCAGTGTTCCCAGCAAGCTTCTGTAGAGGGCGAGAGGAACTGCTGTGTGGGAAACAGAGGCAGAGGGCAACTGGGAAGAGGCCAGAGGCCGTGCTTAGAAGGGCATGTGAATGTAGCACTTGCTGACAAGCAGGATGGCCTCTCAGCTCCAGTCGAGGTGGTTTTCGCTGGGCAGACCCAGGGTTTGGCTAAGAGCAAAAAATACAAAATCATCAGAGAAGTAAAATATATTTATTTTCTTATGTACACACTATATTCAAATAAACCACCCACCCTGAAAACAGCAGGTTCTGGCTTTTCCATGAACCCCCAGAAGAATATAAATTAGAGCCTCTGATAACAGTTCCTTCCCCAGAGTGAGGAGTATGCGTTCGTGTGTGTGTGTGTGTGTGTGTGTGTGTGTGTGTGTAAAACCTTCTGATTCCACGGGATCTGGCCAGCCCCTCTGAAGCCACACAGCCTCCTTGCCTTACACCCTGACTCCAGCTTCAGGCCTCTTCCCTGGTCCAGGGAGAGGCCTCAGCCTGGGACAGGTGTGATGTAAACCAGTCACTCAACCTCCATCTTATTCTTCTGTAAAGAATCGAGGAAGTCTTGCCACTCTGCTGGGTAAAAGCGTTTATAGACATTGATCTTATTCCGAATCTGTTTTGGGGTATCTTGATAGTAATTCTTCTCATCGCGGGCCATGGCCTAAGAATAGAGAAGGGCTACTTTAAAGAGGGCTAGACAGGAAAAGGATCAGATCCTAGCTCATCCTGAAGTGGGCAAGCCATTTGCTAACTATCTCTGAGATCCAGAATCCTGACCTCAAAGCTGTGGTGCACCAGGCACAGTGGCTCATGCCTATAATCCCAACACTCTGGGAGACAGAGGTGGGAGGATAGCCACCAAATCAGCCCAGGAGTTCCAGGGCACCCTGGGCAACCTGTCTCTCTAAAAACAATAAATTAACCATCCTGTGGTCCCAGCTACTTGGGAGGCTGAGGCAGGAGGACTGTTTCATCAGCCCAGGAGGTTGAGGCTATGGTAAGCCATGATCACACCACTGCATTCCACCCTGGGTGACAGAGCAAGACTCGGTCTCAAAAAAAGACCAGGGAGGCCTGAGAGTCCAGTGGGTCAGGGAGGAGTTGGGGCCAGCTGAGGAGCTCATGACCCATCATAGCCAACTAATCCCACCTGGGCCCAGGGGTCCAGTGTAGGTGGATCTTTACACTGTTAAAGCCAAAAATACAGACTTCCAGCCTGGGTGACAGAGCGAGACTCTCAAAAACAAACCAAAAAAATATCATGGAAGCAAAACTATCACTTCTCTGAGAGTGACAGGAACCAAGGCCACTCAGTCTATCCTTGCCATAAGCCACTCGTTCAAGTTTGATCACTGTCAATGGGATCCATTTCCTAGAGTCTCTTTTTCCCCTTCTTTGCACTGTTTCAGGAAACAGTTGCCACACAAGCAGATCAAGCCACAAATGGTCCAGGGCGCCTTCCCAGCCAGCCCACGTGGCCTGAGCTGCTCACCTTATAGTCCTCCCCGTGGTTCTCCACCATGTAGCGTACATAGTCGATGAGGTCCCGAGACAGAGTATTTCCTTTCTTTTCTGGAAGGCTGGCTTCTGCCTCCAGGTCTGGAGTGATGAGAGAAGCGGGGAGACAGGGAATGAGGC